GAGCGTGTGTGTGTGTGTGGGTGTGTGTGTGTGTGTGTGAGTGTGAACTTGAAGGTGCCTTGAGCCTCACAGTCTTCCCGGGGGTCTTTACACGGTCTGCTTCCCAGAGGTCCTATCTGGCGCATGGTGCATAGACCTTTCCATGCGTCCCAAAGTGAGTTGGCCCTGATACCTTGGCCCAGAGCAGAAGAGGAAGGTACTTAAGCCACCTTACAAACAAAACAAAACAAAACTCAGTGTTTGATAGCTGCTCTCATAAGGAGTGGTAGAGGGTTGGGTTAGTGAAACCTCCGTGGCCCCTTCCACCTTTCAGTGTATACGATTATCTGCTAGACTCTTCTTTTCTGCCTCACAATGAGTGTTAGAAACACATACAGTCGTGCTAGCCTTTAGGGCATTCCAAAAGGCCCTACCATGATCTCATTAATCTTGGTCGTGTGGACATGACAGATACTTGTATAATATTCATATAAGAAGAGGGCAGGGCAAAGAAGACACTCATTTTGGGCAGGGTTCCTGCAGAAGTACAAGATCTTACAAGAAAGCAGTGACAGGCATCGTTTCCGAATAAAAATGATTATATTTAGTTTATATGCATAGTAGTGATGATGATCACTGTGATATAGCCAAGTGGTCGCTTCACTTAGGTGAGAGATCCCAAACATTCAGTATCTGGCAGAAAGTAAGTTTGTGCAGGGCAGCTATTAAAGATATGTTTTGTTTTATACTATAGGTAGTGGCTCCAACCCTTTTCGGCATCTGGAGAAGAGTACTGTCTTACAGGAGGTATGGCTCGGAAATACATGGTGTTTCTTCTTTTCCATTCCATTTTAGAATGGTGGGCAGAGAGCCCCTGGAATGCTGAGATCCAAAATAAGAATTAAGGAATATAACTGAGTTCAGAGAATATAGACTTGAGGGAAAAGGAAAAGGGTTTGCTTGTCAGAGGAGAGAGAAATGTGAAAAACATTCAGACTGTGCTACATGTTGAGAATTATGTATTTAATCTTCATGGAGGATGTGTTCATTGATTTTTAGAGAGAGAAAGAAAGAAACATTGATGTGAGAAACATCGTTCGGTTGCCTCCTGTACAGGCCCCACTGTACACCTTTTGGTGTACAGGATGACACGCCAACCAACTTAGCCACCTGGCCAGGGCCACATGTTGAGAATTTTAAATAAAATGCCAGAAGAGGTATTTAGTGCAAGGTTATTGAAGGAAGTTATAGATATTAAACTCATTATATTCAGGTAATGTCAGTAAATATTGTGATTCTTAACAGTGCTTACAAAGTTGAAGCAGAATATCTAAGGGAAAGACAGTATAAAATGGAAAATCAAGGTCACATTTGATAAGTTATATATCATTATAAGTGGAAAACTATTGTTAGTTAACATTATTTGTATATTGTTATTAATATACATAATAGTCTTTATTTTATTAAGGTTGACTTTCTGTAATCTGAGATAGAAAAGCAGAAAATATATATAACTGATTTTTTTTTGTTTCCAGGCTCGTCTATTCAATGAAACACCCATTAATCCAAGAAGATGTTTGCATATTCTTACAAAGATTATCTACTTACTGAACCAGGTAAATTATTTTAATTTTCTTCAGAGTTGTGGCCTGGAATAGAAATACATAACATGTAGTAAAGTACTTTCTGGTAAGTATAATTGTTTTTTAAAAATTCACTTATTTAAAAAATGAACGATGTTTGATTAATAAAATAATATGTAAAACTTCTTGAGTACAAGGTCTGTGACATATACTTTTATGCATGAAGTACTAAGTCAGCTAAGCACATAGTAGATTCTCAACATTGATTTGAATGTATCAAGTGTTAGTTAATGTTAAAACATGTTGTTTAGAATGGTCCAGAGGTCTTTATGTTCCTCTAAAAACATAGCGCAGAACCTTAGACATATTCTAAATAGATATTGTACCCTTTTGGGGTCTGGGTGGGTATATAGTGATGTTTTAAAGCTTTGCTTTTAATATTCAAATTTTATATTTATTATCCCTACTCCACCATTACAATAATATGATTCTTCCTTAATGTCCTTTTCTATAAATGGGGATTATGATAATATCTGTTTTATGAAGTTGTAGTGATTAACTGAGATAATAAATATAAAGCATTGAGAATAGTCCTGGATACATAGTAAGCATTCAGGAATAGTTTTCATTCAGTCATTCAGCAAATGCTTATTACTAATCTGCTGTCCTGTGCACTGTTTTAGACACTGGGATATAACCGACAAAACCAACAAAAATATTTGCCCTAAATGAAATAGCTTCTATTTGCCATTATTATTACTAATTTAAATTTTTAAATGTATTTATTTTTTTGTTCTTGTTGACGTAAAACATTTCATAAAATTTCTGGGGCCTTAGAAAATGTGATTTTGTTTCTTACACACACACACACACACACACACACACACATACATACACATACACACACCCTCACACTCTCAGATGGTTTACATATAGTGCTAAGAAGACTGTGGTTTCCAATTTCAATTCCATGAGAATATTTTATCTTTGCTTCATGACTGAAGACTTCATCTAGAGACATAATAAAGTTTTGTAGTATGCAAATGGAGATTGAGCAATGAGTACATACTTTTTTTGTTGTTGTTAATCCTCACCTGAAGATACTTTTTCCATTGATTGTAGAGAGAGTGGAAGCGAATATATTATTTTTCATTGATTTTTTTTTTAAAGAGAGTGGAAGGGAAGGGAAAGAAAGGGGATGGGGGGAAAGAGAGAGAGAGAGAGAGACATTGATGTGAGAGAGACACATTGATTGGTTGCCCCCTGCACACGCCCCGGCTGGGGCTGGGGATGAAACCCGCAACCCAGGTACCTGCTCTTGACTGAGAATCAAACCCAGGACCCTTTGGTGCGCGGGCTGACCCTCTAACCACTGAGTCAAACCAGCCAGGGCCAAGTACATACTTTTAAATAAAGTTCACAAAGCCATATCCCACTGTGGTATCATACTGGGAACATTTAAGGCGCAGTTAGTTTGATTTAACTTTTCAAAGCACACGTTGTGTTCAAGTTACCTAAATCCATTATATAAGCAGAGCTTTGAGTAGTTGGTGTTGGTTCAGAGTAGCATACACTTTTGTATTGGCCAATAGCTCTTTGATGGGCAACTCATGTTGAAACACTTAATTATCTTGATAAGGAACTTATCAAGCACAGGCTGATACATAAACAGGTTTGGGAATCTTAGTTTTTTCTTTTGCCTAGGTCTTGGGGGAGCTTGGTGGAAAAATACTTTTAAATTTCTACCAGAGTTAACATATTTATATGTTTTCTGAGTTTTAAGTCAAGTAGGCACTCAAGTTTTACCAATATGACTGAAGAGTACCTGGCCTTCTAGGTATTCAGGAAGCAGTTATGAAAGTAAGAGGGAAAATCTCTTGCTGATGAGCAAGTTGGATATTCTGATTAAAGCAATTGCAAACTATTACACTTTGTCTTTCATCCTAAGCTTTCAAAGTGTTTCATCAAAATTGGCTTATTCTTAGACTCATGACAAATAGAGTGAAGATTACTTATATTCTGTGTAAAATTTAAAGTTCTGAAAGTGATTGGGCCTGACATTTTATCGGATTGCTTTAATGAAGGTATTACATTGAAATGGTAATGTTTCAGGTAGCCTGTGATCTGCAGTGTTTTGACTATAAGTGAAATAGGTTATTTAATACCTTGTTACACACAAAAAATGTGGTTCTCTTTTATTTTTTTAAATATGTTTTTATTGATTTCAGAGAGGACAAGAGAGGGAGAGAGAGAGAAACATCAGTGATGAGAGAGAACCATTGATTGGCTGCCTCCTGCACTCCCCCCACTGGGGATCGAGCCCGCAACTTGGGCAAATGCCCTTGAGCGGAATCGAACCTGGGACCCTTCAGTCCGCAGGCCGATGCTCTATCCGTTGAGCCAAACCAGCTAGGGCCCTAATAGTTTTTTACAGTCCAATATTTATTATGTTCCAATGAGAATGACAGGCTTTGTGATGGGCATTGGATTATAGAAAGGTATTGGGTATGATCTCTGCTTGTAGGAAGTGTAATAATAACATTGTAATCTGATTAGGGACTCAATTTGCCATCATCTCTACCTCCTTGTAAATCACAGTTCTTCAGGGGTATTAAAACAGTTCCTGCTGTAAAGTTAGAGACCACTATTCTAGAACTTTTATAGCACGCTGTGTGATACTGAGTTATTTTAACTAAGGAGCAGATAAATGGCTATGTCAGGAAAAGCAAAAAGGCCATTGTTTACAAACAGATTTTTTTTTCCTGCATTCTAAAAGAATTTTGCAGAAATAAAGAGAAAAACCCTTAATTATTGTTTTCGATTTTACTTAGGGGGAACACTTTGGAACTATAGAAGCCACAGAAGCCTTCTTTGCCATGACTCGATTGTTTCAATCTAACGATGTAAGTCCTTTTATTTTATCCTTTCAGGCTGAAAAGCTGCTTTTATTTGTTTTCCTTAGGGAACTCAGAGTGCTACAAATTAGGGAGGTTGCTTGAAATGTTTAAAATTACTTTAAAATTGTTTATTTTCCTAAAATGTTCAAGAAAGGACCTATAAAAATGAAAGAATGAAGCCTATAGTATAAAGCTGCTCACCCACGGGTCTACCATGCCATCATAAAGGCTGTCACTACCCAGCTTCTGGCATGACACTGCCGAAGTGGACTGACTGGCATGGGAGTCAGAGACAGAGCTTCCACAGCTGTGCGTTCTCAGTCAAGTTTCTGGTGGGCCTGGGGTTGCCGTTGGTTAGCAAGGCTGGCAGTTGAGAAGAGCTGGATGCAGAGTGGGAAAGAGGACATGGAGTGGGCGGAAATAAGAGTGAGGACAAACGAGAGCTGCCAGAGCCTCCGCATCTGTCTCTCATTACCTTAGACCACCCCGACTTTCAGAGCACAGTGGCTGCTGCTCTTCTCCTGTCTTCTGTGGCACATACTTCTCTTTGCCCAGCTCTAGCTCAGAACCATACAGGGAAGAGGATTCTGGAATATGTATCTGCCACCTTTCTGTTGACATAAATTGTCCAAATCTTGGCAGTCCATTTGGGAGGTATTGCATATCATCACTGGCCACGTTTTTTGACCCCCAGGACCTTCTGGGATGTGAGGCTGGTTGTATGTCTAGATGATGGGAAGTTTTGGGATGGGTCCTCAGGAACATCAGCCGTCCCTTGTAAGGCAGCTATCTCAGGGGAGGCCGTTACACATTCTTCAGGGAAAGGGAGATGATTTTCCTGAGACAGAGGATGGAGAACTCCTTGCACTTGCAAAGGAGGCTTGGTGGAATTTAGGGGTTCAAGGTACTCAACTGCATCAGAGTCTGCCCATATGTCTCCATTCTAATTTTCAGGGCCCCAACTCCTTCCCAGTCATGGTCCTGACTTTAACATAAGATGCCCCACAAGGGTGTGAATTGAATTTGCATTGTAACTCAGCCTGCAGAGTATGCCTTTCGGCAATCTCAACCCTGTGTGCACATGACATAGGCTTCTTATTAAAGCAACATAGAACATTTCTAGTCACTTACCCAGACCTTGAGCTGTGAATTTAAAACTCGGAGCTCATTTTCTTTTACCAAGTTCTCCAGTGTACTTAGAAGCAACTAACCCATTATACAACTCATTTTTACAAAAATGTTCTATGGCAACAACTACTGGGTCAAAGCCTTGTCTTTTATAGGTTCTTTGTTATGCTTGTCTGAGGTGGTAATTTAAGTATTTTGCCACTGCATGCCATAGACTGCTAGTGTCCCCTTTACCACTGGAAACAGGGTCATTAATGGCTTTTATCAACTCAGAGAAGCAATTTAAGGTTCATATCCTTAAGGTCCTATTTCCCTTTAACCACTCCCTGTACCAAAAATTCAGTGTTTAATCAGGAAAGCAGAACTACCATGACTATTATAGACTAGTGGCCCGGTGCATGGGGTGGGGGGGAGGGTGTCCCTCAGCCCGGCCTGCACCCTCTC